TCATTTAGTTTAGTTTTTATTTTGATTTATGAGATTTTACATTAATAAAAAGGAGTCTTTATGTCACGTTACAGGGGACCTCGTTTCAAAAAAATACGCCGTCTGGGGTCTTTACCAGGACTAACTAGTAAAAAGCCAACAGTCAAAAGCGAACTTAGAAATCAATCGCGCTCCAGTAAAAAATCTCAATATCGTATTCGTTTAGAAGAAAAACAAAAATTGCGTTTTCATTATGGTCTTACAGAACGACAATTGCTTAAATACGTTCGTATCGCCGGAAAAGCTAAAGGATCAACCGGTCAGGTTTTATTACAATTACTTGAAATGCGCTTGGATAACATACTTTTTCGGTTGGGTATGGCTGCGACTATTCCTCAAGCCCGCCAATTAATTAACCATAGACATGTTTTAGTTAATGGTCGTATAGTAGATATACCAAGTTATCGTTGCAAACCTCAAGATATTATTACAGCGAAGGATGAACCAAAATCTAGAACTCTGATTCAAAATTATCTTGATTCAGCCCCCCGTGAGAAATTGCCAAATCATTTAACTCTTCACCCATTCCAATATAAAGGATTAATCAATCAAATAATAGATAATAAATGGGTTGGTGTGAAAATAAATGAATTGCTGGTTGTAGAATACTATTCTCGTCAGACTTAAACCTAACTAAAATAACAAGAGTTTTTTTTCTGCCATTCATGTATCATAGACATAGATATAGGAAGATTTTCATTTCTTGCTCACTTTTTCCACTATTTTCCGTATTACCGAAAAAATTAGGAATACAGAATCCATATCAAAAAGTTGAAATAATGGTATCCATTGTTATTTGAAACATTGCGATGAGTAATATTGATGAATTTGGTAAAGGTTCGGAAAGAGAGGGATTCGAACCCTCGGTAAACAAAAAGCCTACATAGCAGTTCCAATGCTACGCCTTGAACCACTCGGCCATCTCTCCCACAGAATGATGCCCAGAAACCTGGTGAATAGTGAATCATTGATATTCTATTTTGGTAGGCGCATAAAACTAATTCGAACTAGAAAAATAGAAAAGAAAATAAGAAAAACCTCTTACGAGGCCTTAAGATAAACAAATTTGATTAATGAGTCAATTTTTACGTTATTTCGTACTGTATTGTACAATTCCTTTGTTTGTGGGATTCTTTTGATTTCTCACGCGATAAATAAATTATGGAATGGATTTCTACCTATGCCTAGATCTCGGATAAATGAAAATTTTATTGATAAGACTTTTTCAATTGTAGCCAATATCTTATTACGAATAATTCCAACAACTTCAGGAGAAAAAAAGGCATTCTCTTATTACAGAGATGGTGCGATTTGATTATCTTTATTTCAATTTTTTTTCGGTAAAAATTGAAAAAAAAAAACCTACGTTTGCTGAAGGTGAAATTTGTAAATAAAACGATTAGTTCCTTCTGTCGTGTATCCCCGATTAATGCAGCCTCATATGCTTCAATTTTAGGTTTATAGTATTAAGCGAAAGGTTATACCTATACTTATAGGGGTTAGGTCAACCCTACTCTACTAGTACCAATGGGCGGCATGGGGGAAGAAGCACTACGCTTAGGAATCAACAACACGAAAACTTTGTAAAAAAAAAAATATCTTTCCTTGTCTTATCGGGATAGAGATTAACAAGAATGGTTGGGACAATAAACATCCATCTTGTTCGTATTTTGGATACCCGTATAACCATCGAAGATTGTTGAAGTGATTAATTCCGAGAAATTAAGCAACGGTGAGGACAAAGAAATTGTTGAAGTTACTGTTTTTTTATCCAGTACCAACATATTTGTTGTTAAGAAAAAATCTTTTACAGGAGGGTTGGCTAGAGATTTGTTGTAAAAAAAAAACACTAGCTCTGCTCAGTTGATAATGAGAATAGAATAATTCAATCTTTTTTGATTATATGTATTTTTCTCATTATACACATAAGGGAGGAGCCGTATGAGATGAAAATCTCACGTACGGTTCTGGAACGGAGATTCTTTGAACCGAATGACGACCGTAACGGATGTCGGCTCAATCTGAAGGAAATTATGCGGAAGCTTTACAAAATTATTATGAGGCTATGCGACTAGAAATTGATCCCTATGATCGAAGTTATATACTTTATAACATAGGCCTTATCCACACAAGTAACGGAGAACATACGAAAGCTTTGGAATATTATTTTAGGGCACTCGAACGAAACCCCTTCTTACCCCAAGCTTTTAATAATATGGCCGTGATCTGTCATTACGTGCGATTATCTCCACTATAGAGAGAAAAAAGAAAGGAACGAGTAAATCCGCTAATACTAATCGAATAAATACTCGAAAAAATAGGCTTTCTACATATATATCGTACAAAACAACGATTTTTTTCAGCTGTAGCAAAGAGAGAAACCTCATAAAAGTCAAAATATGAAGAAATAGATATGCCTAGATACTTTTTTTCTATGGATAAAAGATCTAATTGATAGAGGAAGCACCGTAAGGATCAATTAACGAGGTTTTGAGCCGATACAATAAGAACTGCTTACTTATATCATGATAGAAAAGTTAGGAATCCACTTATGTAATAAAGTGGATCCCCTGAAGTTTTGAGCAGCGGTGTAGTATCAGATCCCAAAGATAGTAAGTTTTTTCTTTCTTATCAAGAAAAAAGTCTTTTTCAAAGATTCTATAGAAATTGATATATCATATAGGAAAGTATATGATATATGAAATCGAGATAGTTACCTTTCAGAAAATTA